TGGGGCAGAAAGCTAGTCTAAAACAGTGGCCTCCTATAAACTCTGTGGGTTGTCATATGGCTTGTCATGTGACTTCTCTGTAAAATGGCAGAGCCAAAAACACTTCATCTACTGCTGATTAAGGGTGTCTCAGATAGGATTCCTTTCCTTTTTTCCCCTTTAAACATTCATTTAATTATTATTTATGTCTTTATTAATTATTTACTGTGTGTGTTTTTTATATGGGTGTGGGTATACATGTGTCATGACATGCACGGAAGTGAGGAGACAATTTGAGAAAGTTCTCACCAAGTGGGCTGCTTTCTGATGGAACTCAGACCATTGAGGGATGGCTCCACCCACAGTGGGCTGGGTCCTTCCCCATCAATCACCAATTAAGAGACTGCTCCACAGGCTTGCCCACAGCCTGGTATTATGGAGGCCTTTTCTCAGTTGAAGTCCCCTCCTCTCAAATGACTTTGGTTTGTAACAAGTTGACATAAAACTGTACTTCATAAACTTTTATAAAGAAGTAGTCGAGTATATATAGTGGTTTTCATTTTTATGTTTTTATGGGATTTCTGTGTGTATGAATGTGTGTCTCTGTGACTATATATGTTTCTATTGTTTTTTTTTCTTTGGCTCCCTTTCTTCCGTTTGTTTTATTCTAGTCTGGTTTGTTTTTGTTTTATATTATTTTATTTAATTATTTTAAGAAGCCTGTTTTCTAAAGAGAAAGAGAGGTGAGGAGAGTATACACACACACACACACACACACACACACACACACACACACACATATATGAGAGAGAGAGAGAAAGACAGAGAAAGGAAGGGTGTGGATTTTAATGGGTGAGTAGTATTTGGGAGGAATTTCATGAAGGGAAACTGTAATCAGAACATATTGTATAAAACTTTATTTTAAATAAAAGAAAAATTGGAAAAAAATAGCTATATCTGCTAGCTTTGCAGCATATATTGCATCCTGACTGCAGTCTCCTCTCCATCCCTTCCTCCCAGTCTCTCTCCTCCTCTTCTCCCCTTAGAGAAGAGCAGGCCTATCTTAGTTTGTGTTTTATTGTTGTGAAGAGACACATGACCTAGGCGACTCTTATGTCTTATGTTTTAAAACTCTTATGTTTTAAAGAAAAACATTTAATTGGGGCTGGCTTACAATTTCAGAGGTTTATTCAGTTCATTATCATCATGTTGGAAAACCTGGTAATGTGCAGGCAGACATGATGCTGGAGAAGAAGCTGAGAGCTCTACATCTTGATCTGAAGGCGGCAGGAGACCATGTGCCACACTAAATGTAGCCTGAGCACAAAAGACCTCAAAGCCCACCCCAACAGTGACACACAACATGGCCACACCTATTCCAACAAGGCCACACCTCCTAACAGTGCTACTCCCTGTGGGCCAAGCATTCAAACACATGAATCAATGGGGGCCATACCTTTTCAAGCCACCACCAGACCTTCCAGGGACATCAACCAAATACGCCTTAACAAGCTACTATAAGACCAGGTGCATATTCTCACATGAAGGCTGGATGACCTAATAGGAGAAAAAGCGTCCCAATGGCAGGCAAAAGAGTCAGAGACAGCCTATGTCCCACTGTTAGGGATCCCAGAAGAGCACCAAGCTATACAACCATGACATGTATGCAGAGGACTTAGGTCAAATCCACACAAGCTTCCTGATTTCTGTGAGCTCACTTGAGTCCTGGTCACTTGATTCTGTGGACCATGTTTTTGTAGTGTCCCTGAACCCTCTGGATCTTCTAACTATTGCCCTGCCCCCTGCCTCCCTCAGTAGGACTCCCCAAGCTCTGTCTAACATTTGGCTGTGGGACTCTGCTCCCAGCAGTTGCTGGCTGAAGTCTCTCTGGTCTCTCTGTTGATGATTATGGTAGGCTCTGGCCCCAGCACACTCTGCAGCCATGACAAACTGTAGGTTGGAGGCTTTGTGGCTGGGTTGGTGTCCCAATCCCTCCACTTGAGGACTTACAGACGGTGGCTGGTTCAGGCTCTGTGTCCCCCATAACTAGATTTTTACTTGCTCCCAAAATGGCCCTGATTCCAGTCATCTCTCCCAGTACCCAACCTTACTTGCCCACCTGCAAAATCTAATCTATTTCCTCTTCCCAGGAAGGTCCTTGCATCCTCCCTTAAGCTGTCCTTATTACTTAGCCTCCCAGGGTCTGTGGCTTGTATTATGACTATCCTTCTGAATCCAATTTTATTGTGTATTTTCATTGTACATGATACCAAGTTGCAGAGGGGCATTTTTGTACAGACATATGATGCTTGTTTAAGTATGTTTACCATACTTCCCCCTTACCTTCCTCTTTGTCAACGCATCTTATTTGTTGTTCTAGACAGTTTTGTGTGATTTTATCTATCCATGTAGAATCTAGGAATAAAAAATGAAAGAAAAAATATATGGTTCTATGTAAGATTGGTTTACATTGTTTAATATGATTATCTGCAGTTCTCTCCATCTTCCTGCAGTTTAACCTCATTTCCTATGGCTGACATCCATTCCCCTGCTGTGGACCTCTGAGTTGGCTCCATGACTTAACTATTGTGAATGGTGCCACAGGGAACACTGATGTGTGCATGTCTCTGTGACATGTTTGCTTACATTGAGCAAATACCCAGGAGTGCCAGAACTGGATCATAGGGTAGCTTTATTCCTAAGTTTTTGACAGTCTTCACTCTGGCTTCCATAGGGACTGGACTAGTTTACACTCTCTACAGCAGTGTATAAGGGCTCCCTTCGTCCATGTCTTTGTTAGCATTTTAGTTATGGCTGTCATTCTAGTGAGAGGAGATGGAATAGCAGTATAGTTCCAATTTGCATTTCTGTGGTGGATGGCCAAACTGAATGCTTGCTTCTTATTGATCATTTATTTTCCATCCTTTGAGACCTGCCTATTTCATTGGTCCTTTATCGGTTTTGTTGTTTGAGTTCCTGTTGTTTAGTTTTTTGAGTTCTTTGTATATGCTATATAATGTTTCTCCTTTGTCAGATGTATAGATGCTAAAGACATTCTCCTACTCTATAGGTGGTATTCTTTACTTGGTAAACTATTTCCAACTGACAAAAATGGGATCTCCTGAAATTACGAAGCTTTGCCTTATTTACTGAGTTACTGGGGTCCCATTGATAAGTCCCTTGCCTACCCCTATCCCATGAAATGTTTCTTCTAATAGTTTCAAAGTTCTGTGTATTATGTTGAGCTCTTTTATCTACTTGAAATTGCTTTTTTTTGCAGGGTGAGAAGTAGGGATCAAATTAATTTTTTAATTCGATTATTATATATGTAATATGTATTTTTGCCATCTTTGTTAAAAAAATTAGGTGCTTGGAGCTGTGTGGGTATATATCTCTGTCATTCTACATGCATGTTTTTATGCCAGTATCATGCTAACTTTTGCTACTACAACACCACAGTACAACATGAGACTACATATAGTAATGCTTGCAGCATTACTCTTTTTGCTGAGACTTACTTTGACTGCTCAGTCTTTTATTTTTACCTATGACTTTTAATGATATATGTTGTTATATTTAGAATTCTAAAATAGTTCAATGTTAAAAAAATTCTGTTGTTTTTCTGTTCTGTGAGTGTTTTTATATTCTTATATAAAATCTTTATAACAACCTAGTGAACTAAAGCCAAAAAATGCTTAGTTGTTAAATTTGAGCTTTAAAGCATGTCCAAGCTGCTGGTTTTTGAACCAGAACATCTCCCAAGTTTGGGGTACTTTACATTATTTCAAGATTTACCCCCCCCAAAAAAAATAAGAACCAAAAATTGAAAACAGACATACATTATTTGAAAAGCTTCATCAGAACAGTGGAAAAAGCATGAGGAGAAAATATAAACCAACTATTAATCTGGTGGAAGGTCCATGTCCAAAATATACAAGGAACTAAAACCTCAATCACAAAAACCCCTAAATAATGCAATTTAAATAGCAATGGATATTAACAGACATCTCTGAATCATACAAATGGCCAACAGATGCTCAGCACCATGGGTGAATCCAGAATGGGAGACAGGGAACTGGGGATGCTTCTGTAGATGAAGTGACAACAAAGAGGGATTCTGGTTGTCACAGTACCACAAAACTCCCCTCATAGAGGGAAGAAATTGGCCAAATTAAGGTTTTTCCTTCTGATTACTTAGTTATGTCTGTTTCTGCAGAGGCTGAGGGTAGCTAAAGGTAGACTCCATTAGGCTTATTCCCCAATGCATTCTTGTGCCTGTTGCAAATGTAGCCCAACAAAATGTACTACTGTCTCAGTCTGCTTTCTGATGCACAGACAAAATGCTGGTGGCTTGGTCTCAGATTCCTTTATTTAACACCAAAAAAGGTCTAGAAAAACTTCTGTTGTCAACCACAGCATTCCCTTTTCATTTCTTGTCACACCAAATCTCTCTTTCTCTTACACACTCCTTTGAAAATTAGCCCCAACCACCTTTTAGCCAACATGATTGGAATGCTTTTTTCCTCTTCCATTTTAAGATGTAGGGGTTGGTTGGTTTTTAGCTTGTGGATATCGGCTTCCTCTGGTGCTCTTTGGAAACAGGGACCACACAGGTTATGGATGTATCCTGCCTCTCTTGAAAAACAATGTAATTAAAGTTCATGGTGGAGAAAATTTCTAAATTGACAAGTCCCATATCTTATTTTAGAATTTAGTGTCAGTAACTAATCTACATTATTAAATAAGATTCAGTTCACTGGAACTACTGAAGAATTACTGTGTTAGTTAAGCAGTGTTTTTGTGACAGTATTAGTTTTATCGAATGTGCCAGGTTGTTTTTAGGAAGTAGTCTCAGCATTCCTTGAAAAGAGGTGAGAAAAACATCATTCATCATGAGTTCGACAAATTTATGATTAAAATAATCATATTGCATGAAATACAGCAAATTTAAAGGTCTTAAATGCAATGCATGCTCAATAAGGATTATTCCCAAGGGACTTTATTTTTTTTTTTCCCTGCAGGCACCAGGACAGAGAAGCCTACCCCAAAGATTTTGATGCAGATGGTCTCGGGCCAGTGAAAAAGCTGGCTAATGCATCATATCGGCGATTTGGAACTGATAATCCAGTAAGTGTTTGCTGTTAATTTCGTTGTCTGAAATCTTTGTCATACTGCAAAAATAAAAATTAAGGTGAGGTGTTGTTGATTATTAATATTTATTTATCTTTTAGTTAAACAGCGGTTATTCCTAAACCAGCTGTATACCCAAATCACCACACAGAGACTAGGATTTATTTAATTAACCTAGAGCACAATGCTGGGCAATAGTTATTCCATCCTAAACCTCCATGCCCACATAGTTTCCTTCCATTTAGATTTCCCACATTATACTTGCTTTAAGTCGTATTTGAGGTCTGGTTCATCTCTCCTTGTGGTTCCAAGTCCTCTTCTGTTGATTTCTCCCCTTGACTCCTCCAACTTGCTTCCTTTTCCTCCTCTCTGGACCAGGATGTCTTATCTTATTCTCTCCATTGTACAGCACTTGCTGGTTGTTTTATTGACAATACAGAGAAAAAATGGTAGCGTGTTTACACAAACTTGAGACAGGTGATGCTTAGAATAAACATCACAATGCAATGTCCAGATTGAAACCAGATAGCGGGGTACAGAAAGCAGGAACATTATGCCAACAGTGAGGAGTAGTCTTTCCAATGCTGTTATTCATGAGATTAATTAGGTTACTTAGTTGCAATGCATGTGGCATACCTGTACAGTCCACCTAGTTCTTAAGGTTATTGGGTGAATTAGACATAACAAAGTGCTTAGCATGCTGCCTGGCTGTATTAGTTAGCTTTCTGATACTGTAACAAAATATCTGTTACATATGAAGTAAGGATATTTATTTTGCCTCACAGTTCTGGAGGTTTAAGTCCTAAATATGGTCACCTCACTGGTCTGATAAAGGTGGGCATGTCATTGGGGGAATGTTAGTCTGAGTAACCACATTTTGAGAGAGGAAGAAAAGGACACCAAAACTAGGCCACCCAATTTCTTTTGAGAGTATAACTTCAACGACCTAATGGTTCCCTCTTAAAGGGATTCTCTTATCTCTTTAAGGTCCCTGGTGTTTCCCAGTTCTACCTTTCAAGGATTGTGATGCTATGCTCCTGCTGCTGCAGCATCTTGCTAGATAACTTCTCTGTCTTCTAGAATAACCCTGTATTGTCCTGTATAATCCTATATCCTGAATAATCCTGTAGAGGCAGGAAGAAAGACTCCTGAGAGTAAACAGTCCATTCAGAATCTCTTAACCAAAGTGAGGAAAATAAAGTTTGAACCCTGGTCTCTGACTTTTTCAAAAATCCCTTTCTCAGCACAGGTGTTACAAGCAATTAAACCTGCTATTAATGTGACCCCACTGTTTGAATATACATTTGTTTAAGTAATTCCTGTTTGAAACATGCTGAGTAGATTAATTAATGCTTGTCCAGTTGAGCATCTGTCCAGTCAACATAAGGCAGGGGCTTAGCAGTCTAAAACCACCTCACTTGTGCGGTACGATGGCAGCAGCTTTGGGGCTAGATAATAAAAGCCAGGTGTAGGGGCTGGAAGAGATGATTCAGTCATTGAGAGCACTTGCTGCCAAAACACAAGGACCAGAGTTAAGATTTCAGTACTCAATTAACAAGGGCATCTGTCGCTCACCCAAAACTCCAGCTCCAGGGAAGATAGAAACAGGAAGATCAGCCTGCTTAGAAGAAAACAAGGGAACTCCAGTGTCAGGGAGAGACTTTGCCCCAAAAAGAATAGGGGGAAGAATGATAGAAGGGGACTCGTGCCCTCTTCTGGCTTCTGTGTTGGTACTGAGATCTAAGGCATGGGCACTTGTACGTTATATGTACATGTACACCACACACTTGCACACAAAATCAAACGCATACAAACAAATTCTGAAGACCACAGCAAACCAATTCGGACCTTGGGCTGTCCTGTTGGCTGTCAGCTAGCATGTGCATGGAGATCATGTGTCTGATGTTGAGTTCAGTTACACCTCTGCTACCCTCCCAAACCCAGGCTTTCTTGAGCACCTTATGGGAGATGAACTCAGGTTCTGAAAGTGAACATGTTGAGAACACTGGGTGTATCTCATAATTTTCACCCAAAGGCTAACACTCAGATCACTTTTTGAAACTGGCAGGCCTAAGAAAAGACACCATTATACATTGGAAGTTATTCTACAATGTTCTGTATTCTATAGGGTAGCAGCAATGAATTAACTTAGCATGGCAATTTGGTTTCCTCCTCCTCTTTTAGTTGTAATAAGCAGGAGCTCAAGCAGGGTGACATGGGAAATGAGACACACTGTAAAGCTGCAACTGGCTTGATGTGGAAAGAGGCAACATTCAGGAGCCAATGAAATAACAGAGAAGACACGTCCCTCTGCAGTGTCCTCATTCACACACAGGATTTTCTTGACATCTCTAGGTCTCTGTTCTCGTGTATTTTTTTTTCCTGCTCTAGCCCAAATCACATAGACAATGTGAGAGCTCTCTCTTCACTCAAGCTTCTTGCTCCTTGCCCACAAATGTCTCATTGTCAGTCAGTCAGCATGTAGGTGGAGCATATATGCCTGACATTGAACTCGGTCAATAGTATCTCTGCCGCACTGTGCCCAAGCCTCAGCCTTCTTGAGCAGGTGTGATTAGAACAAAGGAAAGCTGAGTGAGATGTACACTGGTTTCTGGATTGTGGGAGATGAAGTGAAATTGATGTGTATGGATCTTGGATATTTCTTTCCTTAGCTTCTATACAATAATGGTCAGTGCTTAGATTTAACATGAATGTTTGCCTTTCTTATACATTTGGTGATGATCATGTAAACCCTGTCCTTCCTCTTCCAGTTTTGAGGCTGTTTTAGATATATAGGAAAAAGGCCAAAAAAAGCCTATTTCTGATAAAACCATAATTTTCATATTTTAATAAGTCATAATTTCTCTGATAGAGAAATCTATCCATTTTGTTTTTGTTTTTTATAGCAAAGCTATAAAGTTCACAAGAATGATATTATTTTCGTTCTGAACCTACCCTTATCAATCCTAACATCACTCACTCAATGTGTCCAGGGAGAAATAGACACCAGTTCAGACCTTCCTGGCCACCATGTGATTAATTAATGAATCTCACTTTCTGTTTTTCCCAAAATTTTAACAGAAGCCCAAAGTCTGGAATGGTCTCTAAATATTTGTTTAATTATTCATTTATTTAGCTATGAATTTATTATTTGGCTAGCTAGTGTTTCACGTAGAACAGGCTGGCCTCCAACTTACTATGTAGCTTAGATTAGCCTGGAACTTCCACTCTTTCTTTCTCCACTTCCCAAGTGCTGCCACTACACCTAGCTGTGGACACTCCTGATAGTTGTCAGGCAGCACATATCCTAAGAAGCTAACCTGCCTAGGCAGGGCCATCTGAGACCTCTAAACCAGGGTAAGATGCTATTGGCCATTACGTTGTTAGAAAGAGCTGCCCAAAAGAAGTTGTGTTTACCTGAGGATTGCTTGTTCCCTTTCCCTTAGTTGAGAGTGATTTCATGGAAACCATTAAGAGAGCCATGTGTCCTGACATTTTAAAGATGTATGGCCCTGGTGTGACACTAGCCTGTAAACCTTAGTGTTAGGCACTAGGCCTGATGTGACAGCAGAGAGGGAGCAAGCTTCCCTCAGAGTGTTCAAGTTTCTCTGAATTGTGTTCACCTAAATGAGTCATGAGGTAAAGTCCTCTGAGAAAGACTAGGACTGGGAAAGAAAGTCAGCAACCCAGCACAAAAGACCTACTAAATACCAAAGCTCAGGAAAGGAGTTGCTGTTTCTGCCATGTTAGGCCAGAAGACAAACTCCATGTGTGGTGGTGGTGATGAAGCCATCTTTCTAATAGACCACACTACCTCCAAAGTCCAGTGGGAGACATGGTGATGGCAGGGAGAATTTATCTGGTGTTGCCACACTGGGGAATAACAGGGAGACAGACACCCTAAATCCTCAACAGTACCAATGAGAATTTCAGGATTATATAGAAGAATAAAAAGAGGGGCCAAGAAATGGGCATAGTCAGTCTTGGTAAAACAGTCAGTCTTGTTGATCGTGATCTTGGGTCTGGTTCCATGAGGTTCTGCTGGCATAGAGGAAGTCATTATTGCATGAATGGTGGCAGTTTATATTAAGTCACAAAGTGACAGCTTCTGCCTGGATGTGGGAACCAGCCTGGGTGATCACAGCATGTAAGCAGCAGGATTACGACAGCAGAGATTTGAGATAAACTGGAAAGGACTCAGATCATAAGCAAGGGCAGTAAAATGTAACCAGTCAAGACAATGGCTGAGTTGCCACTTCAAAAAAAATAAATGAGGAACCAGCTTGTCTCTCTCTTAGGCTTGAAAGCCATCTTATAGTAAGTATAAACTAGATTCATTCTAGTTTATGATTAAATCTGTTTCTCAAAAATTGGGCTATGCCCTACCTATAACCTTAACTACAAATGGTTCTGTACTGCTTCTTCCAGGAAATAGCAACCATGCTTTAGTTTCAAAACATCATTATGACCTTTTTGAAGCTGCCTTTTGTTCAAAAGGTTATTATGACCACCTTTTGTTAAGACCACATTGTTATGATTATCTGTTGTTATGACTACCTTGTTATGACCGCCTGTTGTTATCATTACCTTGTTATGACTACCTGTTCTGAACAATTTGTTATGACTACTTTGTTATAACCACCTTGTCACCCCTCCCCCCCATTTACCTGCAAACCTTCCATTTCGAACCGCCTACCCCTGAGATATTTTTATCTACTCCTTATCTTCCTCACATCCAATGCTGACTTCTTGAACCTTGCCTCAGGGAGAGGCAGGCTGTGTTCAGGAATAAAAAATCTTGCTTTAATTAATTTAGTCATTGGTGGTTTGAGTCGGTAGTCTTTCTCCTCATATCCTTGGGATTAACATAAAAAACATGTTTAAAGTAAAGAACATGTTAGAAGGAGCTCCTGTTACCTTGTTTAAACCACAGAAAGGGTGAATAGGAAGTGTGTGCATGTGTGTTTGTGTGTGTGTTGGCAGGTGGGGTAAGGCAC